AACAGCCCAGGAAAGGCCCAACCCGACGGACCGGTCGAACCAGAGCTGGTCCGACCAACCCTAGAAACCGCCGCCTCCTTTTTCTATAAAAGCAGGCTCAATTTTCAAGAGAAGGGGACAACGATCAGAGGGGAAAATTCCTTGGGGAAACACTGTCAATTCTTTCTTTCAGTCATTTCAGAGTTTTTGTTCTTCTTCTTAGTCAGTTTAGAGAGGGGAAGTGTTGCGAAAATAAAAAGAGAACCAGAAACACCTTTTCTTTCCTTCTTCATCCTGTAAAATAGAAGTAGAAGGCAAACAGAAGCCCAACAAGTCTGTACTGTAATCAGCAGAACCTAGGTTCATATTCCAATTCTAATGATACATCATTCCTTTACTGCTCTTTTATTCTCTTCTCCTACTCGTCCCTTTTTGTCAAACTAACTCTATATTATTGTTATTACCACTGCTACTATCATCCATAAATCATCATCATCATCTAAATGTCACGATTTCTACACAAGAGTGATTGAAAACTAATCAAAACCCAGATTTACTCTACTAACTTGTCCATGTCATTCAGCTTTATTTTACTTTCGGTTCCATTATTTACTTATTTCAAGCACAGTTACTTCATTAATTATATTACCTTCAACAACTAGCTTTCTACTTACGAGTTAAGCTTACTATTACACTTAATCAGTTAATTGCCACTTACTACGCTATTTACTTTTCGACAATTACCATTCTCATATTTCGATCCATTTATTTTCTAGCACATACATATAACTATATCATGACTCATGTGTATGGAATAAAAAAAAGTCACCACACCATCGCCAATTCTCTACGCTCTCAATCCATCGATTCACCACAAAATCCCACCAAACAAACCTCAAACACCAGATTTAGACGAACACAACCATTCCCTTCAAAATCTCAAATCTCATAGTCGTTAATTTATGACTAAATCACCTACTAAATCCAGACCCCAATCCCAAACTCGGGACCATTAATCACAAAAAAACCCTATTCTAATTAGATCCACCACAGGTTAATCGAAATAAAAATCATAGCAGGGAGAAACCTCACCCAGATCTGGCCTCTTTCCAAACCTGCGAAAATAAGAAAAGTAGGGGTAAGTATTTGGATAAAGCAAAGAGAGTAGGATCGAAACCGAAAAAATTACCCTTTAGGCTCACCGTCGTTTGTCTATCGATCTAGTCACCGCCGGCGACTACCTCGTCTGCCATTAAACCCAGAAGTCAAAAGAAATACCAGGAAATGGGTTAGAACCCTAAAAATCCCCAACTCACAATGGCACAAAGTTAACATGCAACCAGAAACTCACCGCTGAACCCTGCTTCACCTTCGTCGCGATATAGAACGGCGAGAGAGAGAGAGGAATCAGAGTGAAAAAATCGGTGCTTCTTTCTTTCATCTTTGCTCGATTACCGGAGAAACAAAAGATAAGAGAGGCTGGATCTCGAGGGTTTCGTTCTTTTTTCGGTTTTCGATCGGTTTCTAGGAGAAGGGAAAGAAAGAAACGAAAGAAAAGAGAAGATGGAGGCGCCGCTTAAGGTTTAAGATTAAAAGGGATTAGGGTTTCCTCAGTTAAGCTCACTTATATACCTCTGGCATCCATCTAAATGACTGATCTACCACTCTCATCCTTAAGTTGGCAAAAAAAAAATGTTTCTTTCAAGAGTTCGAACCGACGACCTCAATCTCTCAGTGGAGATAATCAAACCACTAAGCTACAACATAATCTTTCCATCTTTAGGCCCTCGTTTGCTTTTATCCTCAATCAATCTTAATACGTAATCCATTAAAAGTCTTAGAAATCTCGACCTAGTTACATAAAAATCTCCTAAGTCTATTTTCCCACTACTTCCTTACCCATTTGAATATATTTTTCATTAAATAGTCAGTAAAATGAAATCATGGTTGATAGATCATGGTAAATTTTTTATGGCGGAATCTTTTCATAATCATTAATCAATCAAGACCAACTAATTATAACTTTTCATTTCTCGATATGTATGTTAATAGCATATGAAATTTGCTTTAACTCAATAGTCCAATTGGACTTTAAAATACACCATACATAATTAAAACACCCAACCCTTGGAAACTTATCGATTTAGGTAGTACTGATTTAGGGCGTTGTGGGGCGTGAATACACTTCCCCACACGTAACCGTACTCCCGAACCCAAATCGCTATAATTTCGCAGGCCAAATCCCGGTTTTGACCCTATGATCGAGACAGATCCAATTAGTGTTCGGCCCACTACTTTTAAGGTCGATGGCGACTCCGAGCAAATTCGTGAGCGATCCCGATTTCGAGGGGCGGTTGCGACATACCAACCAAGTCCATGTTCTACACCAACCGGGGGGGGGGGGGGGGGTCTAGCAGTAACCCATTTGATGACACTTACACCCCCGACCTCTAATCTTTAATGTGTTGTGTGATTTATTATTCATGTATGCTTTATTTTTAGTGTGTTTGCTTTAATTGCTTAGAATGTACCATTTATTTTTAGTGTGTTTATTTTGAGTACTTTGAATTTACCCTTGATGTACCAGTTTTCATTATTAGTGCAACAACTCTTTTTATTAAGACACCTGAAAAGCATACATGATAGGCGACCAAAAGCATCTTGGCCTTGCTGAAAGTAGGAGTCGTATTGAACAATGCCATTCAATACTCGGTTGAACAAGGGTAGGGGCATCCGAAATCTCCTTCTGAAGAACCTAGCGTCGTAGGTCGGATTGGGAACGAAATATTGTTGCATCAAGCGTCGGTGTGCTTCAACCCTGTTACGTCTTACTGATTTACGTGGATGTGAACGATGCCGAGATGAAGATGCTTGCTCTTGGAACATAAATGTTGTTGCCGTCACCATCATCTGTTGACGCTCGCGATCAAGTTGGGGCACTCATTCTCCCATTGTGTATCATCAGCTTCTTGTTGCCTCTCATTTGCTTCTCTATTGGGGGAAATAAATGATGAAAAAAATGTTTCGGTTTGTAGAGAGAAATACGAAGTAGAGAAAATGAAGATAGTTAAATGTTGGGATGTATAGATGGACAAAGTTTGGCCTTCATTTATAGAAACATGAAAAGATTCTCCAACAAATATTGACAAACTGGATGAAAAGTTGATTTCACAACTCAAAATGATTAAAGCTGCATGAACAGATGATGACACATGTCATTCTGATTAAAGCGACATGAATAATTGATGTTACCACTCAATATGATTAAAGCTGGCAAAATAATTGATGACACCACTCATTCTGTGAAACATGTCATGAGTCATGGTCATCTCGTATTATTGTGATTTCGTCATTGATGATGTCGTACTAAATTAGTGATGACAAAAAAGTGCAAATTAAAAAAATTATATCGAAATGTTCGTATTAAACTATTAATTAATTATCACTAAGTACGTAAAAATAATGATCATTATATGAAAATAAAGTAACAAAATCAACTATAGATTGATTTTAACAAAAAAAAAGTACAAAACAGATTATCCACTTTTTCCACCATCACACTGTGAACAAACCATCCCATTTCCCACTTTTTCCACTTTTCCCAAAATTTTCCCCACCCACATTGTGGATGGTTTTATGCAAGTTTATCAACCATATATTATTGTAAATAACAACCATATAAAAAGAATGAAATAATATTATTTTTTAACTTAATTCAATGTTAAAACTATTATTTTTTCAAATATTTATCTTCGTGATATGCCGTTTGCTAGTAATTAATAAATTCGAGGATTTCCATTTCTCCCATTCCCTATTTCTGAGATTCCGCCTCCCATCCCAGTTCTTTTCATATTGGGACCGGTTACTATGACAACACCCCTTGTGTTGTTATTGTAACAACACTAGTTTCCAACCAATAGGAAGCTAGAATTGTGATGACTTTGTATTAGATGAGTTGACCTAGTGTAAAATCAAAGCAGGGGTATAATTGTCATTATGAAAAATATGTTTAAATAATAAAAAAATAATAATTTTTTTTTTATTTTCTGCCAAAAAAGTTGGTCGCCGGAATTCTGCCACTGGTCGTCGGAAACTGGTCGCCGGTCATCGGAATATGCTTTTTGTCGCCGGAATATGCTATTTGTCGCCGGAATATGTATACCGGCGTCGGAATATGCTTACCGGCGTCAGAATTTAGTTATCGGGGCTGGAATATGCCTATCGGCGTCGGAATCTGCTCACTGACGGTCATCGGAGTTCGGTCAACGAACTTCGTTGACCGGTCAACGGTCAACAATCACCGGATGTTATGGTTAGCATTGTGAGATTTATGGTTTGGTTTCTCATATTTTTTTATGCCTTCTGTGGTTTGCTTTATCGTGTTTGTGGTTTGCATTGAGAAGTTTCTGGTTTGCTTTCAAAAACTTTGTGGTTTGCATTGTGAGATTTCTCGTTTGTTTTAATATATTTGTGGTTTGCGTTAGGACGTTTATGGTTTGCTTTTTTGTGGTTTGATTTACTGTGTTTGTGGTTTGCGTTAGGAGGTTTCTGGTGTGCTTTCGCAAATGTTGTGGTTTGCTTTGTGAGGTTTGTGGTTTGTTTTAGGAGATTTGCGGTATGCATTAAGAGGTTTCTGGTTTGCATTAAGAAGTTTCTGGTGTGCTTTCAAAATATTTGTGGTTTGGTTTGTGAGGTTTGTGGTTTGTTTTAATATATTTGTGGTCTGCATTAGAACGTGTTTGGTTTGTTTTGCCGTGTTTGTGGTTTGTATTAGGGGGTTTCTGGTTTGTTTATAAAAATATTTGTGGTTTGCTTTTTGGAATGTTTGAGCCAATTTGTGGTCTGGATTAAGAGGTTTCTGGTATATTTTACGGAATTAGTGGTAAGCATTAGGGATTTCTAGTATGTATTAAAAATTGACAAAACATTGCACTAATTTTACTATTATCACTAATTCAAAGTATACAATTACTCTTACTAAAAAAAAGGTATACAATTACTAAAATTTCCTTTAACACAACCAAAATTGACAAAACAAACAAAGCCTTAAATCCCTAAATAGTCATCTTCGTCAAAACAGAGCGGCTAAACTCCCTCCGCCGCTGCACTCCAAACGATTTCGCCGACAGGCGATCACCTCCAACCGACCCTGCACAGCGGACAACGGCCCTCCTCTTTCTTGCCGCCCCGCCATCATGGTCCTCCATTAGCACCCCCCTCCTCTATACTGCCGCAATTGGGCATGGTTCAATCATGAAGTTGCGGGTGATCAGGATTTTGAAATCCTACGAACACAGTGGTCTGCGGTGGGATGGTTATGTTGAGAGAAGTGGATGATTTGGCTAAATCGTGGTTGGATGGTTGCTAAATTTATCGAGCAGCCAGAGGGCCCAGATCAGTGGCGATTGCTGGCGCTATTGAGGGATTGCGGCCGTCGTTGCTGTCCCTGGAGATACGGGTTATTTGTAAACATCAAGATCAGGGATCCATCGTCACTTTTCATTGCCGGAGATCGGGTTTGCGAGGCGCCGCCGTGACGAGATCTGCAACAGAGGACGCCATCGACGGGGGAGAAATAGCTTGGTAGAGGCGTAGTGACAGTGTGGAGAAGGTGAGTTTCACGAGGAAGAAGGCGGCTTTCCGTCAGCGAGATTGGTAGACGAACCACTCCTATTGTTCGACGCCTGCAATGGATCATTCGCCATGGATGCGGTTTCTTCATCTCCGGCCTTGGAGGCCGCGATCCGAGCTATGACGGAGGGACGACGGAGTTGAAACGCGGTGTGGTTTTTGATTTTACAAGGAAATCGGCAGGAGAGAAGAAGAATCGATATCTAGTGAGAATGTGAAGGAGACGAGGGTTGGTGGGCTAAATATATTTTAATGTAATTTTAATTTTATTAAATTTTAGGTAAGTTTACCTTTATACATGTTGTTGTTATACTATCCAGTTCTTTTCATATTCCCCAGGCTCCTCTCAGCCACAGCCTGCGCAGGAGTGAGAAGATAAAAAAATATCTCTGCCAAACTTCTTTCCTTCTTCCCTTCTGCTCTCAGTCGAGCTCGCCGACTCTGCAACTCTCTGCAGGTAGCAAAACGGGCGCCGAAGTAGTAGCGGCAGAAGAGAAGGAGAGGAAAGATCCATACTCTGTTTTCTGCAGCTGCTGATTTACCTTGGATTGCCTTTCTTCCCCCAGCTAATCTCCTTCCATATTCTCCGGTAAGTTGAAGAACCGCACTCACTGACTCTTTCTTTTTTTAAGCTTCAATCTCTTCCGTTTCTGCCGATTTTTAGCTTTCAATCTCTTCCAACGGCGAAGCCCCTGGCTGCTTGCTTCGATTTGGCTTTTCGAATCACCGCCGGCTGCTTCGGACTCGGTTTTTTTGGTTTACAATTCGTTATCGGTACTTTCGTTGAGCGATTTTCCTGTGTCGAGTTCCTTCCTTGCTTCTTTTGATTTTGAATTCCGGCTTCGTCGGAAAATTCTAGAATGAAGTCCGAAAGTGGGGAAGATGTGAAGTGCTTGATTTTAGGATTGGTATTAATTGCAGTTCATGCTCATTTAATAATTCCGTCAGTAGCTATCGATAGTAGTTGCACTTTTTTTTATTATATCCTCCAAGATTTGCTTAATTGCCGTCCAGTCCAGTGACGACTTCTGCGGGATTTCATGAGGCGTACTGGATTTTTCCATTTCTAGCTCGAAAGTTGAATTTTTTTTCAATGGTGCTTCCGTTGACCAAAATATTGACTGTACCATGCCTTCTCCTCCTCAAGCCACAAAAAGTAACGTAACGTCTCTGTTTCTTATTTATTTATTTATTATTATTATTATTATAATAAAAATAGGTTGTTGTCGACTTATCGGTCATATGATGGATTGTTTTGTGAGTATATTGTAATTTTCCTTCTACAGTAGTAGCGTCTTGCAATTCGGTTAAAAGGACTAGGAGTAGGAGACCACCCATTCAGCTCAGCTAACATCTATTGATTCCTTGAGGTCTCAAATCTGGTCCCTGTTATTTGTGTTTTGAACACATCAGTCCCCCTACAATTTGCATGCCGTGTTTGGATTTAGGGATAGTGCCCAAAAAGTGATCCTAAATATCGCGTATCTTTGTTCGTCTGAATAAACATTAGAAAACAAAAAGGATGACAAAATTACACCACCTTAAGTTGAGAACAGAAATACGGCAGCCCGTTCAGAGAAAAAAAGTGCGAATGCATTATTTTATTTTATAGGAGTCCTTTTCGTGGATCAGTGACAAATGACAAAATTTTAAACGAAGAATATTCAGAGCTCTTTTTTGCTTTCTTGATGACAACCTCTTGGCTATTTGCTAAAGCTACAGTATTACCTGTGCATCGGTTGATAAGTATATGGCTGTCCGTCACTTTTAAATGCTGTTTTCCTAGCTAGGGTCGCTGCTGCTGTAAGCTGCTTAAAGTAGGCTCTTTCTCTTTACTAATAGATAAAAAACAAAGTCACTTTTAGCTCTCGCATCCATTTTTTTTTTTTTTACTTCTGTGGCGGGGAACGAGATTCTGCTAGATTCCAGCCAGAATTGTACGAACGAATTTGTGCAGAAAAGGTTCAGTTTTTTTTTTCTTTCTAAAAAGACTGAAAGAGAAGTAGGCCTAGAGGTAATTTTAGGGTAAATTTTTTTACCACTATGAACAATTGTCTAGAAAAAGAATTTTAAACCATGAGATGCTTGTTGTCTGGTTTGTTTATCTTTGGTTAGGGTCGGTTTTGTAAAAATGTGTTTTTTTTGTGTGTGTGTGAAGAAGATTGATGAGTTAATTTATAATGCTGGGGAGTTGAATGAAATCATTATCATCTCTAGATCTTGACAGGCAGAGAATGCCGGAAAGCGGGTGTCAGCTAAGCCGCCGGGTCCTTTTTGCAACTATTTTAATTACCACCATGTGAACACAATTATATCACGCGTAACCCTAACCTACCTAACCCACCTCGCCATACAAACTTTACAAATATGCTTCAATAATTGAACATAAAGGGCCCTGGATTACAATTAACAGATAAAAAGAAAAGCTGGCTTGTTTCTACAATCCTGCCTTCTATCTACCATTCAACTGTCTGTTTGACACTAGGTTTTGCTAGATGCGATCTGACTCTAATGCTCTTCTTGTGAGCACGCATTTATAGAGGTTGGTTGTTGTCGGGGGGTTCGGACACAAAAGCCTTTGTGGTTGTTGGATAGACACGATGATAATTTATTTTCAAAATTCTCACTGCGTTCATTTAAAAGTTAGGATTCTCTTTGCACTCGATCAATGGCTCACATCCTCTGCAAGCACGTGCTCATAGATCGTCTTGTGAGCACTATAACCGGATTGTGATAGATGACTAACGTCATTGTTGCCATTTCTTTTTATATGACTATATTTATAGCAGTACCAATGAAAAATATTATAAAAAAAAAAGGAAATTGGTAGCATGTCGTTCCCCATTTCCATAAACGAATGAGTAATGTAGATGCTATTTCGTGAATTTTTCTCTTTTCTCATGCGATTCTTCAAGTTTTGTTGGGTCCATCCATCAAAAACTTCACTTTCTTCTCCCATAACAACTTTTTTTATTCGGTGGAAGAACAGATGGTGATAATACTGGAAGAGAAAAGCATGTACTTATAGAGAGAACAACCAAAATGCATTTAATCCCTCCCCGGCCCTCTCCTATCCTTCCCATCACCAATTTCCCCGGCCCGTAGCAACCACCATCAATACTGCTCTTTTTCTTTTCTGTTTTTAGCTTCTAGCCACTCAGGGTTCTTGTTCAGTTCCACATGAAATGAAAGGTAGAGTAGAAGATGAACACTCGCACTGTCACTATCCTTTTTCTGGGGTTTTTTTTTTTTTTGTCTCTTCCGTCCCATTTTGTTGAGTGTTCATTATTTATGAACGTTCTTACCTACTTTTCCCGTTTCGTCGTTCCTTTTGGAACCTCCCTTATTGTTTTTCCCACCATTTTTGGGTTTGTCCCGGTGGCTTCAGAGGTTGTTAGGGTATGAACGTGGACTCTGACTCTGGGTTGTTGCCTTGTTGGAAAGTGGAAAGCATGTCAGCGGCAGCTGTGGATTTGTTTGGGGCTGTGCCTGTGATAGGAAAACACCAAAAACCATTTCACTTCCCTTTGCCCACCTACCGTAAATTTATCTTGTTTATATTTCCTAGTTGATTAACATGTGATCTTGTATTCTAAGGTATATATGCATGTCCTGTTATGGTCTCTCATTGAATAATATATCTGCTTTGATTTCGGTCATGTGTTGATTTTGGGTTTAGGTGTTTGGTGAAGCAAGGAGAGATCAGCCCAAGCTTTAAGGAAGCAGGGTTCTGGCTGACTGCTAAGTGTGTTGTGGCGATGGCGGGGGAGGAGATTAACCAGAAGCTTTTAACAAAAACTGTTGAGGCAGAAGTCGAGGAAATACCCTTGAAGTCCAAGATATGGACGGAGGCCAAGAAGATGTGGATTGTGGCTGCCCCAGCTACCTTCACCAGGTTCTCTACCTTCGGAATCAATGTCGTCAGTCAGGCTTTCATCGGCCATATTGGGTCGACTGAACTCGCTGCTTATTCCCTTGTCTTCACTGTCCTCCTGAGATTCGCTAATGGTGTCCTGGTGATTATCAGTCTCTTTTTTCTATCTATTCTGCGTCTCCACGGTCAAGTTCTTTTTTTTATACTGAGGGTGGGTTTTATGCTTTACAGCTGGGAATGGCTAGTGCATTGGAAACTCTTTGTGGGCAATCATTCGGCGCGAAGCAGTACCACATGCTGGGAGTGTACCTGCAGAGGTCGTGGATCGTTTTGATCATGTGCGCGACTCTGATGCTTCCGATATTCATCTTCACCACTCCACTCCTGGAGTTACTGGGCCAAGAGGCTTATATTGCAGAAGTTGGAGGAACTATTTCACTATGGTTGATCCCAGTGATGTTCGCCTCCATTCCTTCCTACACCTGCCAGATGTTCCTTCAGGCACAGAGCAAGAACGTGCTCATTGCATATTTGGCTGCAGCTTCCATGGCCATCCACTTGGTCCTTTCCTGGCTGTTGACCATAAAGTACAGGTATGGGATCCCAGGAGCAATGATATCCACGATTCTAGCTTATTGGATCCCCAATATAGGTCAGCTCTTCTTTGTTACTTGTGGTGGTTGCCGTGAGACGTGGAAGGGTTTATCGTTCTTGGCATTTAAGGATCTGTGGCCTGTTGTCAAACTCTCTGTTTCATCTGGTGCCATGCTTTGGTACGTTTCTTGTTTTCATTTTCGTCCACTGCTGTAGGTCTTTAGATACTTCTGGTAGCGATCTTGAATTATGTATGTTGTTTATTTGACACAGCCTTGAGCTCTGGTACAACACAGTGCTAGTGCTTTTGACAGGGAACATGGAGAATGCCGAGGTTGCTATCGATGCTCTTGCTATCTGGTAGTTCTCTGCTCGAGATTTCTGCTCTCCGAAACTTCTCTCGTGTTTCTGTTTATGCCTAGCTAAAAAATGGTTCACTTGTCTGGGTTTTCTGCAGCCTCAACATCAATGGATGGGAGATGATGATCTCACTTGGTTTCTTAGCAGCTGCCAGGTATGTTTTATTACCGGAACGCCTATTTTAACACAACCCTTTCGATTTTAGAAGTTGAAATTCATTGACTCCTGTTTTCGGGCATGTTATTTCAGTGTGAGGGTTTCAAATGAGCTCGGGAGGGGCAATGCCAAAGGCGCCAAGTTCGCCATTGTGATGACAGTTGCAACCTCATTCATCATTGGAGTAGTGCTATTCCTAGTGTTCCTATTCTTGAGAGGGAAGGTTGCTTATTTGTTTACGGAAAACGTGGAAGTAGTCCGTGCCGTCTCCGATCTCTCACCACTACTGGCCTTCTCCATTCTCCTCAACAGCATTCAACCCGTCCTATCTGGTAAATTTCCTAGAGACTTTCACTGCTGATGAAGAATCTGGTAAATCTTTTTAGAGCTGAAGTGAACTAACGGAGATCCCAATTTGTGTATAAACTATAACCAACAGGCGTTGCTCTTGGAGCTGGATGGCAGAGTATTGTTGCATACGTCAACATAGCTTGCTATTACCTTGTTGGTATCCCAGTTGGAGTTGTTCTTGGATATGTGTTTGACATGCAAGTCAAAGTAATTAACCCTTTTCTCTCTTTCCTCTCTCCCTTCAGACAGAACGATAACTATTCCTTGAAGTGTTAAATTAACAATTCCAATGTCAAATTCCCAGGGTGTCTGGATAGGAATGCTGTTTGGAACATTCATCCAAACAATCATTCTCATTGTGATCACCTACCGAACTGACTGGGACAAACAGGTACCCTAATCCCTGAATCGTTTTGTAGTTCGGCTTCTAAATCTGTATCTGAACCTGATTTACCAATCCTTTGATGTTGTGCAGGTTCTTCTTGCTCGCAACCGTGTCAACCGGTGGTACACACCAGTAGCAGAACCTGAGGAGCAAAGTTTGGTGTCTTCCTAGGTTTCAACTACCAGTAGAAACTAGTAACTTAGATTGTTGTGTGGCAAATTCATCCCATCTAGTCCAAGCATCTCTTCACCCTTTCATCCTAATTTTGCTTTTTGTTACTGCAGAGTAACAAAAAAAATCTGTAGACTAGTAGTATCTCCATTTCCCATTAATGGCAAAAAAATTGTATCACATCCTAATGTTACAGTCATGCCTGTTTCTTCCCGCATTCTCAATTCTATGTCACAATTCACAAATGTTAAATCGACAAAAAGAAGAGAAAGAAATGCTCTAACAACTTTACTGTTCACTTTCACCAAAAGTTCTTCGGTGTAAGTATATGATGCCTAGATCGCCGTCCTGTTCCTCCACCACTACCACCATCTCTATGAGTGTCGGTAACAGCAAACCGCGAGTATCTCCTAGCCCTGTTTATCTTCATCCTTATGCCCGGAACCTTTCTCCATACCGCCTGCCATATCATTTGTACAGCATCTCCTTCCACCGAAGGGTACTGGAACTGAAAGAACCGCTCGACTTCCTTCAACCTCGTCCACATCCTAGTCCATTCCTCTTTCTTGATGCTCCGGATGAAGTTGATCAAGAACTTCTCCTTGACTGCGTCGGACGTCTTGACGAACACACAGAATTCGGAGTAGTCCAGGACGTCCTCGTAGGGGAGCTCGATCTCGTCGCTGATGATCACCGGGACGCAGTGGCTGGCGATTGCGTCGAAGAGCCGGTTCGACGAGGGCGTGTCGCCGGCTATGTTGAGGCAGAATTTGGACCCGTGCATGCCTCGGGACGCCTTGTGGATGCCGTCTTTCTTTACGCTACCGAACTGGAAATGCACGTCTTTCTCGTCCTTCAGCAGGTAGAACAGCTCTTGCCTCGCCAGTCCACCCTGCACAATGTTTCAACCGAACATGTGAATTTCATATCTTTGTTACTTTGATTTAGATTTAAATGTTGATTCTATATGCTTTCAGTCTAGTTTCAGATTGGATTGACTAGCTGAAGCGCATAGTGAAAAAAAAAACTGGAAAATGAGGGAAAGGAAAGGAGAGGCAGATGAACTCACATCTTTCCTGTAAATGGCACCCTGGAAATAGAGCAAGGTGGGTCTGGTGTCAAACTCCGAACTATCATTCACATAGCTCTTAATAACATGCTTGTAAGGCGCAATCACATCCTTCTCAACATTCGCCACATTGGGCGGATACCTGCCGAAATCCGACAACACGAACATTGCCGGCCACAGCTTCATCCTCGCACTCAGCATACTATTGGGGTGGTGAGCCATCACCAAATGGTCCTTCCCGCCGGACCTTTTCCACTCCGGCTGCGACGTCACGTACTTCACCACTTTGTCCTGCAACACGTTGTTCCTGCTCTTCTTCTGGTGCGGGTTTACCTTGGAGTACCTGTTGTAGCTCAGTGAAGAGAAGAATGGCACGAATAAGACGTCCGCCTCGCTCGAGTTGCGAACTCGGATCGCGCTCCCAGCTCGAGGGATCTCGGGGAATTCTGAGGCTAGGAGGTCGAGTGTTAGCCAGTACTCTATGCTGTGTTGCAGATTGAGCCCGCCTGGGTAGCCGGGTATGTGGGTTTTTATGTCGGGCCAGACTCGGCCCGGCTCCTCCGGCTTCCAACCCAAGAGCTCGAAGTGGAATTCGGGCGGCATCTCGTACATGAAAACCTTCAATTGCTGCTGTTGTGGTGGCTTCAGGCTGCTTTCAGCATTGCATTTCACATCACCATTAGTGCTAGTAGCTCTGATTTCGGGTCTAATTATGGGCTTATCTTCGTTCACGGGCTTGGGTCCGGCGTCTAGATTGGTGGTGGTGGAGACGATGTTGTTGATTTTTTCTGGTTTTGTATCGTCGTCGACGAGGATTGCGCGTGCTTTTGTGGAGAAGGAGCTGGGAGTGGAGAGCTGTTGTTGGAGGGGGATGTCGCTTTTGACGACGGAAAGAGTGGTGACCGTGGGTAAAAATGCGTGGTCGAGGAAGCTTGGGCGGGCGGTGGAGGACCGGACGACGACGAACCAGGAGAGCAGGAACACGGCGGAGATGAACGGGAATACGCCGAAGAAGAGCTTTCTTGCCGCGATGCCCATTGACGTGCCGCCGCCGTGTCTGTATTCCCCCATCGGAGAGGAACAAAAAGCACCCGGAGTTTTACAATCTCCCAGAAAAGAAAAACCTCTACAAAGGCGACGGCCGGTTCTTCTGTCCGGCGAGTTGAAAATTCTGTCAGACGCGATTCAATGGCATTTCGACGAAGAGACTCGAGAATCCAACGGAAACCCAGATGAGAGAATCGGTTTCTATGTAGAACCCAAAAACGGGGGGAAAAAACACGAATTATGCAGCTCTGATGAACAGAGAGAGCATTAAATGAAGCGATGCAGAGCAATGTACAGAGTGTGAAGAGAACCCAAATAGGCTGCAGATTGCTTCTTCCTCGTAAAAGAAATTGGGCGTCTGCTGCTTGATTCTTGGTGTATTCTTCTGTTTGTGAATTTGATGGATAGAAGAACTCTGCTGGGATTAGGAGGGAAGAAGGCGGAGGAATAGGAGCTCCCTACTCCGAATCGTTGGCTGGTGGAGGTGGTGCCGCCATTTTCGTTTTCCCTCTGATCTATTTATGGTTTTTTTATTTTCCCGGTTTATGCTGACTTCTGCAGTTCTACGACTCATCATTAATTAAAGAGAAAAGAGTAAAATTAATAACGAGGCGACAGGAGACACGGCCTAGAATCAAACAAACAGCAATCAATTTTCTACTCTCGTCTGGTAGATCCTGGGAATTAAATCTAATCAATCAGGAGTGAGTGAGTGAGTTCATTTAATTAATTGCTCCTCCAAGATCCGGGCTTTTAATCGGAAGCCATGTATGTATCACATAAATCAAATATTTATGTGATTCGAAGAATTAGATACTTCTGTAGAGGAACAATTGGTGATTTGTATTTTCCTTGTACGTACAAGAAACAAAACAAAACAAAGTACTGAACCTTAACAAAAAAATCTATTTAAAAAAAAACCTTAACAAAAAAAAAAAAGTTTTTGGTGGTTGGCCTGTATTCAATACATATAACTTTTCAATCTCACCTAAAGAAAATCTGTTGTAGATGAAGCAAACTTTAACAACATAACAAAACTAGTTGCAAATGATAGTCGAGGGAACACCATTTGGTTGAGCTCCGAAATTCTAGTATCTTGGCGACTGGCAAGCGGTGCTAGGGTTTTTTATGGCAATTCGTTAGCTGGGAAGGCCGTCGGGAGTCAAGAGCTGGTTAGGTGGGCTTGGTTGTGTATTTTGTTACGCATAATTGTTATTGCATGAGATTTTGGGCTTCGTTGTTTGTGTTTTGTTATTAGGTTAGTAGGAGTTAGGGCCAATTACGTTAGTCCTTGGGGAGCTAGGTCTCCGTTTGGGTGGCAGATTGGGGTAGGGGCCGAGTGGCCTAGGTAATTGTTGGGTCGGCTAGGGTAAGGGCTTAATTGTTGGGCGAGAGAGCTCGAAGAGCGCTGGCGGGAAGGAGAAGGAGGGGGAGAAGGCAGGGGAGTGGAGTTTGTCGTCGACAAAGGAGGGGTTTGGGGGTCGGAACGGTGGCGTGAATGGCGTGAAGACTGGCAACAGCAACAACGGCAGCAGTGGCGAGCTGGAAGGTGGACCGACTAGGGACGAGTCCAAGGGAAACGACGGAACCAAGGGCGGCGGCGACGACACTTTCCTCGCCAAGTTAGCAAGGCTGAAGTTTTCGAAGTTTGTTGGAGAGGATCCTGGCACATGGTTTCTGTAACGACCCGATACTTTTAACAAACTGAAATACTCATGGCTCCTGAGCTGATTTAAAACAACATGAAAAATTAATTTAAAACAAATAATATTGAATCCTTTTCAAATGAAATGCCCTAAACACGCGGGCAAACTCAATCCTTAGCCATTAAAACTACACATCTTGAACATTGAACCTCCAGTATATACTCATATCATGAACTAAATATAACTAGCTAACTCTAGCTCCTCGGTGGGGTCCTTGACATCTCGTCAATGTTGGTGCGGCTGCTCGCATCACCTTGCCTCTCCTCGTAATCCTCATCCGCTAACCCTTCCCCAACCTGGAGAGTGAAAAGGGGTTAGTCTTGCCGTTACTTCTTAAGGTCTTTGCCCTAAGAAACTCCTTACTAAACACGTTATCAGGTGTCTTGACTTAGATAAAAGCCGTTCTCGCTTTCATCCTTTATACTTTGTTATCAAACAGTCTATAAGAGATCTCTACTCCTAACTTATCTTTAGAAATTCCTTACTTATATTCTTAATCCATTGACACCAACACTAGGGACCACCGCGTTACGTCTTGCCGTCTGGTGTCCCTACCCTAGTATGCCAACCGCGTTACGTCTCGCCGTCCGGTAGCATACCCAAACTCAGCAATGGCACTGCGTTACGTCTCACCGTCCAGTCCATGCCCGGTCAACTACTGCATTACGTCTCGCCGTCCAGTAGTGACCCAACCGCCCGGGGGTTCATCTTACCATTAACCAACTATTACAATCATACATTCATACATAACACAAAGCGTGCCTCCACCCTTATAGGCGGTGGGATGCCTCACACATATCGCGCATTACTAAAAAATTAACTAATTAATAACTTGAACGAAAAGCATAAACTAAAAGACCTAAGACATAGATTTTACCCCCATTACACCCACCTCTTAAATTAAGTAGACGTGCTTTGACTACTGCTCGTCGAAATCTTGAAGCTTTAACTACTTCTTCAATTCTAGTCCCCATCTCCATTATGTAGCCGTCCATGCACCATATCATTGAACTAGCCGAGCAACCGCTCAAATCCATGGGACACAAATTTCAACTCCCTTTAACCTTGTAATTTGATGAAACAAACCATCATTATTAACATAATTTCCTTGCCGAGACTCTTACCTCAATCCCATGGTACTTTTGCCCCTACTGCTGGGGGGTGATTGTGTAAAGGAAAAGAACCACTTGCTGGGGCGGTGATGAGGTTAGAAAAAAAGAACTCCTTGTTCATTGCCCGCAATGGTGGGAATTAAAAGGGATCCTTCTCGCCTAATGATCCTACTGTTGCAACGCGCTTGAGTCCCCTTAGTGAACCTATCCCAAATCATGCCTGCACCGTCTGAATGGTGAGAAGAACGAAATGGAAAGTTGCGATCGGCTGCTCTTGTACGAGGATAAAAGGAGGCTGCTCTTGTACGATTGGGAAAAAAAAGAATGAAGGGTTTTGTTAGTTTGGGGTGAGGCCGAGTGGGAGGTAGGGTTACGGTTTAATTGTGTCGGGTTAATTTGGGAATTTCCTAATTACGGGTGAGTTTAATCCGAAATTCAGTTAACGTCCATAATTTTCTCACTTCATGTCTAAATTCGACACCGTTTGAACTATTAATTCACATTTTTAATCCTCATCGATAATACGATGGAACTTGACCCAAGGGTATAATAGTCATTTTGACTTTTGGGAAGAGCGGGGTGTAACATTTCTCCCCCCATTGAAAGGATATCGACCCCAAAATTTGCTCGGAACTCATCCTTTACATAGTTTATCTCGATGGTGTCCTCCTTCTTTTCCAAGACTTGCCATCGATCTAGTTCCCTAGGTACACAATTCATCTTCTTAGGGACGTATTATATCCCTAAGGGGTTCCCTAGTCGATGTAAGTAAACGAATGGGCCTCCTCCCAGCCTTGACACATTGATTCCATGAAACCATTTTAAGATCCTTATGACTTACTGAATTTCTCCTTGCTTTGCTTATGTGCCCCTAGTGTTGCTTAATGTCTAACTTCTACTACCCTTGGGTCGTAGCCCTACGCTTGATTCTCACGAACTCATTGAACCTTCCTTTCATCCTTTCCTCTATATTAAGGCTGCCATTTGTCATAACTCCTTGGCTACTGCCTGTCGATTTACCAGATACTTGGCTCCTTTCTGACCTTATTCTGATCAGCTCGCATCCCCGTAGGACATATATGAGCTGCCTTGAACCTCCTCTTCTTACTCATGAAAAGGGTTCACTAAGCGATCCTCTTAGGAATCTGCTCTATCTCCTTCCCGAGATGTATCATACTCACGTAAGCCTAATAGAGTTATTTTCCTAATCATGATTAGAGTATATTGGAGATACTAAAATTCCTCAAAAGAACCCTTTTGACTCACTTCTCCCTTAAAACAAAACCTTGAAAAACGCAGATCGTCACTCCACTATTCCTTGAAGACCAAGGAAAAAAGGAGTGCCAAGCTCTGATACCAAAATGAAACGACCCGGTACTTTTAACAAACCGAAATACTCATGGCTCCGGAGCCGATTTAAAACAACCTAAAAAATTAATTTAAAACAAATACATTTGAATCCTTTTCAAATGAAATGCCCTAAACACGTGGGCGAACTCAATCCTTAGCCATTAAAACTACACATCTTGAACATTGAACCTTCAGTATATACTCATATCATGAACAAAATATAACTAACTAACTCTAGCTCTTCGGTGGGGTCCTTGATATCTCGTCAATGTTGGTGCGGCTGCTCGCATCGCCTTGCCTCTCCTCGAAATCCTCAACCTGGTGAGTGATAAGGGGTCAGTCTCGCCGTTAATTCCTAAGGTCTTTGCCCTAAGAAACTCCTTACTAAACACGTTATCAGGATTCTTAACTTAGACAAAAGCCATTCTCGCTTTCATCCTTTATACTTTGTTATCAAACAGTCTATAAGAGATCTCTACTCCTAACTTATCTTTAGAAATTCCATACTTATATTCTTAATTCATAGACACCAACAATGGGGACCACCGCGTTACGTCTCGACGTCCGGTGTCCCTACCCTAGTATGCCAACCGTGTTACGTCTCGGCATTCGGTTGCATACCCAAACTCGGCAATGACACTGCGTTACGTCTCGCCGTCCAGTCCATGCCCGGTCAACTACTGCATTACGTCTCGTCGTCCAGTAGTGACTCAACCGCCCGGGGGTTCATCTTACCATTAACCAACTATTACAATCATACATTCATACATAGCACAACGCGTGCCTCCACCCTTATAGGCGGTGGGATGCCTCACACACATATCGCGCATTACTCAAAATTTAACTAATTAATAACTTGAATGAAAAGCATAAACTAAAAGACCTACGACAGAGATTTTACCCCCTTTACAATCACGTCTTAAATTAAGTAGACGTGCTTTGACTACTGCTCGTCGAAGTCTTGAAGCTTTGACTACTCCTTCAATTCTAGTCCCCATCTCCATTATGTAGCCGTCCATGCACCATATCATTGAACTAGCCTAGCAACTGCTCAATTCCATGGGACACAAATTTCAACTCCCTTTTAACCTTGTAATTTCAACTCCCATTCGACAGCTGAACCTCCCCAATTCTGGTAACCAGTATACTCTCCACATTCGGAATTTTGACTGGAAAGTAACCCAAAGCACTCTTGGAATTCTTTAGCAAACTGGAATCATTCGTAATATTCTCATTGCACCTAGAATCAATCACCCATTTAGTACCGGAGAGAAATTTACCTGCCATATTTGTTGTGGATTCAGAATGAAGAGGCGGCTCACTAGACCCAGCATTGTGATTCAGA